CATGAAGTCCTTGCCGATGCCTATGTCCTGAATGGTTTTGCCTAGATTTTCTTCTAGGGTTTTTATGGTATTAGGTCTTATGTTTAGGTCTTTAATCCATCTGGAGTTAATTTTAGTGTAAGGTGTCAGGAAGGGGTCCAGTTTCTGCTTTCTGCACATGGCTAGCCAGTTTTCCCAACACCATTTATTAAACAGGGAATCCTTTCCTCATTGCTTGTTTGTGTCTGGTTTGTCAAAGATCAGATGGTTCTAGATGTGTGCTGTTGCCTCCAAGGCCTCTGTTCTGTTCCATTGGTCTATATCTCTGTTTTGGTACCAGTATCATGCTGTTTTGATTATTGTAGCCTTGTAGTATAGTTTGAATTCCGGTAGTGTGATGCCTCCAGCTTTGTTCTTTTTGCTTAGAATTGACTTGGCTATGTGGGTTCTCTTTTGGTTCCATATGAAGTTTAGGTGTTTTTTTCCAGTTCTGTGAAGAAGGTCATTGGTAGCTTGATGGGGATAGCATTGGGAAGTATGGCCATTTTCACAATATTGATTTTTCCTAACCATGAGCATGGAATGTTTCTCCATCTGTTTTTGTCCTCTCTTATTTCGTTGAGCAGTGGTTTGTAGTTCTCCTTGAAGAAGTCCTTTACGTTCCTTGTTAGTTGTATTCCTAGGTATTTTATTCTCTTTGTGGCAATTGTGAATGGCAGTTCATTCTTGATTTGGCTCTCTTTAAGTCTCTTATTGGTGTATAGGAATGCTTGTGATTTTTGCACATTGATTTTGTATCCTGAGACTTTGCTGAAGTTGCTTATCAGTTTCAGGAGATTTTGGGCTGAGACAATAGGGTCTTCCAAATATACAATCATGTCGTCTGCAAATAGAGACAGTTTGACTTCCTCCTTTCCTATTGAATAGTCTTTATTTCTTTTTCTTGCCTGATTGCTCTGGCTAGAACTTCCGATACTATATTGAATAGCAGTGGTGAGAGAGGGCGTCCTTGTCTAGTGCCAGGTTGCAAAGGGAATGCTTCCAGTTTCCACCTGTTCAGTATGATATTGACTGTTGGTTTGTCATAAATAGCTTTTATTATTTTGAAATACATTCCATCAATACCTAGTTTATTGAGGGTTTTTAGCATAAAGGCTGTTGAATTTTGTCAAAAGACTTCTCTGTATCAATTGAGATAATCATGTGGTTTTTGTCTTTGGTTCCATTTATGTGGTGAATTACGTTTGCAGACTTGCGTATGTTGAACCAGCCTTGCATCCCCGGGATGAAGCCTACTTTATCATGGTGTATAAGCTTTTTGATGTGCTGTTGCAATTGGTTTGCCAGTATTTTATTGAAGATTTTTGCATCCATGTTCATCATGGATATTGGCCTGAAGTTTTCTTTTCTTGCTGAGTTTCTGCTGGATTTTGGTATCAGGATGATGTTGGTCTCATAAAATGATTTGGGAAGGCTTCCCTCTTTTTGGATTGTTTGGAATAGTTTCAGAAGGAATGGTATCAGGTCCTCTTTGTATGTCTGGTAGCATTCGGCTGTGAACCCACCTAGACCTGGGCTTTTTTTGGGTGGTAGGCTATTAATTGCTGCCTCAACTTCTGCCATTGTTATTGGTCTATTCAGGACCTCAACTTCTTCCTGGTTTAGGCTTGGGAGGATGCGAGTGTCCAGGAATTTATCCATTTCTTCCAGGTTTACTAGTTTATGTGCAAAGAATTGTTTGTAATAATCTCTGATGATGAATTGAATTTCTGTGGAATCTCTGGTGATATCCCCTTTATAGTTTTTTATTGCATCTATTTGATTATTCCCTTTTTTCTTTTTTATTAATCTGTCTAGTGGTCTATTTTGTTGATCTTTTCAAAAAACCAGCTCCTGGATTTATTGATTTTTTGAAGGGTTTTTTGTGTCTCTACCTCCTTCCGTTCTGCTCTGGTCTTAGTTATTTCTTGTCTTCTGCTAGGTTTTGAGTTTTTTTTTTGATCTTGCTCCTCTAGCTCTTTGAATTTTGATGATAGGGTGTCGATTTTAGATCTTTCCTTGCTTCTCATGTGGGCATTTATTGCTATAAATTTTCCTCTAGACACTGCTTTAAATGTGTCCCAGAGATTCTGGTATGTTGTGTCTTCGTTCTTGTTGTTTTCAAAGAACATCTTTATTTCTGCCTTTATTTCATTGTTTATCCAGTCAACATTCAAGAGCCAGTGGTTCAGTTTCCATGAAGCTGTGCAGTTCTGAGTTAGTTTTTGAATTCTGAGTTCTAACTTGATTGCACTGTGATCTGGGAGACTGTTTGTTATGATTTCCATTCTTTTGCATTTGCTGAGGAGTGATTTACTTCCAATTATGTGGTCAATTTTAGAGTAAGTGTGATGTGGTGCTGAGAAGAATGTATATTCTGTGGATTTGGGGTGGAGAGTTATGTATATGTCTATTAGGTTTGCTTGGTCCAGGTCTGAGTTCAAGTCCTGGATATCCTTGTTAATTTTCTGTCTGGTTGATCTGTCTAATATTGACAATGGGTTGTTAAAGTCTCCCACTATTATTGTGTGGGAGTCTAAGTCTCTGTAAGTCATTAAGAACTTGCTTTATGTATCTGTGTGGTCCTGTACTGGGTGCATATATATTTAGGATCGTTAGCTCTTCTTGTTGCATTTATCCTTTTATCATTATGTATTGTCCTTCTTTTTCTCTTTTGATCTTTATTGGTTTAAAGGCTATTTTATCAGAGACAAGAATTGCAACTCCTGCTTTTTTTTGCTCTCCATTTGCTTGGTAAATATTCCTCCATCCCTTTATTTTGAGCCTTTGTGTATCCTTGCACGTGAGATGGGTTTCCTGGATACAGCACACCGATGGGTTTTGGCTTTTTATCCAATATGTCAGTCTGTGTCTTTTGATTGGGGCATTTAGCCCATTTACATTTAGGGTTAATATTGTTATGTGTGAATTTGATACTGCCATTTTGATGCTAGCTGGCTGTTTTTCCCGTTAGTTGATGCAGTTTCTTCATTGTGTCGATGCGCTTTACCATTTGGTATGTTTTTGGAGTGGCTGGTACTGGTTGTTCCTTTCTATGTTTAGTGCTTCTTTCAGGAGCTCTTGTAAAGCAGGCCTGGTGATGATGAAATCTCTGAGTAATTGCTTGTTCATAAAGGATTTTATTTCTCCTTCAGTTATGAAACTTAGTTTGGGTGGATATGAAATTCTAGGCTGAAAGTTCTTTTCTTTAAGGGTGTTGAATATTGGCCCCTACTCTCTTCTGGCTTGTAGGGTTTCTGCTGAGAGATCCGCTGTGAGTCTGATGGGCTTCCCTTTGTGGGTAGCCGACCTTTCTGTCTGTCTGCCCTTAGCATTTTCTCCTTCATTTCAACCCTGGTGAATCTGACGATTATGTGCCTTGGGGTTGCTCTTCTTGAGGAATATCTTTGTGGTGTTCTCTGTATTTCCTGGACTTGAGTATTGGCCTGCCTTGCTAGGTTGGGGAAGTTTTCCTGGATAAAGTCCTGAAGAGTGTTTTCCAGCTTGGATTCATTCTCTCCATCACATTCAGGTACACCTATCAAACATAGATTAGGTCTTTTCACATAGTCCCATATTTCTTGGAGGCTTTGTTCATTCCTTTTAGCCCTTTTTTCTCTAATCTTGCCTTCTCGTTTTATTTCATTGAGTTGATCTTCGACCTCTGATATCCTCTCTTCCGCTTGGTCAATTCGGCTGTTGAAACTTGTGTATGCTTCACGAAGTTTTCGTGTTGGGTTTTTCAGCTCCATCAATTCACTTATATTCCTCTCAAAGTTGTTTATTCTCATTAGCATTTCATCAAATCTTTTTTCCACATTCTTAGTTTCTTTGCATTGGGTTAGAACATGGTCTTTTAGCTCAGCAAAGTTTCTTATTACCCACCTTCTGAAGTCTGATTCTGTCATTTCATCACACTCATTCTCCATCCAGCATTGTTCCCTTGCTGGTGAGGAGTTGTGATCCCTTGTAGGAGGAGAGGTGTTCTGGTTTCAGGTGTTTTCATCCTTTTTGTACTGGTTTCTTCCCATCTTAGCAGATTTATCCAACTGTTGTCTTTGTAGTTGTTGGCTTTCAGATCGTGTCTCTGAGTGGATGTCCAGTTTGTTGATGATGAACTTATTTCTTTCTCTTTCTTAGTTTTCCTTCTAACATTCAGGCCCCTCTGCTGTAGGACTGCTGAGGTCCACACCAGGCCCTGCTTGCCTAGGGATCAACTGCAGCAGCTGCAGAACAGTAAGGGTTGCTGCCAATTTCTTCTGCTATCTTTGTCTGAGAAGGATACCCGCCTGATGTCAGTCTGAGCTCTCCTTTATGAGGTGACTCTTTGGATATACGGGGTCAGGGAGCTGCTTGAGGAGATAGTCTGTCCTTTATTGGAGCTCAAGTGCTGAGTTGTGAGCTCCGTTGTTCTTTCAGAACAGCTGGGCAGGTACATTTAAGTCTGTGGCAGCAGAACTCATAAATGCCTTTTTTTCCCCCCAGGTGCTCTGTCCTGGGGAGTTATAAGTTTCTGTCATGCTGCTGCCTTATTTCAGGGCTGCCCTGCCCAGCAAGGAGGCAGCCTAGTCACTGTCTGCCTACAGAGGCTTTGCTGAGCTGCTGTATGAACTTCCCTGCAGTCTTGGTTATATGGGTGTAGTTGGAACTGCCTTGGCAATGGCGGCCCACTTCTGTAATGGCAGACTCTCTCTGTAATGGTGCACTGCCTTGGCAATGGCAGGCTGCTTCAGCAATGGCAGACTACCTCTGTAGTGGTGGACTGCCTTGGTAATGGTGGACACCTGTCCCCCACAGAGCTGGACCATCCCAGGTTCAGCTGTACTTGCTGTGAAACTCTCAATCCAGAGCGTTTCAGATTGCTGTTTTTTTGTGGGGGTGTGACAAGCCAAGGCTTATCACCTGGCTCCCTGCCTTTGACTCCCTTTTTTTTTTTTAAGTTGAATGGTCGACTCTGTCTCCCAGGTGGTCCAGTCACCTGTTGAAAAGTTGCCGGGATCTGTGTGATTTCCTGTGTGGCGACCCACTGCGCCAGCTGAAACAGCCGCGCTGAGATTCATGGTACTTTTTTGTCTGGGAATCTCCTGGCCTGGCTCCCTGTTTCAGTCCCATTTTTTATCAGTTGAATGGGTGACTCTGCCTCCCAGGAGCTCCAATCACCAGCTAAAATGGACCCATGTACTTCGTACAGAGACCTGCCATGCCGGGGCCCCAGCCAAAACAGCCCTGCCAGCCAAAACAGCCACGCTGGCCAAGCAGCCATGCTGGTGACCTGTGGGGCTCCTCCGCCTGGGAATCGCCTAGTCTGTGGGCAATAAAAATCATCTGTAAATGCGGCATCCACTCACCCTCTGTGCTTTCGCTGGGAGCTGCAATCCTGAGCTGCTACTAATCTGCCATCTTGGATCCGTTCCTCTGATCCTAATTCTTTTACTAATGCCTCTCAGGTGGGAAGTGTGAACCTGGGGTTACACTGTGAAAAAAATGACCCTAAGGAAAGATGCTTTAAGCCCTCTGTCACACCTGTGTAAGGGCTGCTGGAGAGCGCCTTGGCTGTGCAGCAGCCCCAGTGCTGGGAAAGCGCCCACTGTTTAGCCAGCTATGGAAGGAGACATCCAAAATGGCTGAGACGTCTCCTTCCCTGGGGGAGTTAGGAGAAAACTCCACTCCTCTGAGCTCTTGCCGTAGGCCTCAGGGCTATCAGGGAAGCCCCACAGACATCCGGGGGCTTAACTTTCTCCATGTGATGCTGTGCTTTAGTCCTCACGTTCCATGACCACTCTCATGTTCTGCTCTGCACCTGGTTCCTTTTTTCTCAGAAGAGCTAATCAGTAAAAGTAATACAAATCTTAATGTCTTTGTTCTTTCTTAACAAAGAAGGAACACGCAAAAGTGCTGACACATTATGCTTCTTACCTGAAAGTCTTGGGCCCCTACCTATATGACACGTGATGTGCTTGACCCTATCACTGACCACCAAGGCCTCGCCCTACCTACCCTGCCCCCAGCTTTGTACTTAATAAAAGTCAGGGTGTCCAGGCACTCAGGGCCACTGCCAGACTCCATGCTTTGGTTGGCAGTGGGCCCCCAGGCTTAAATTCTATTTTCTCTATCTTTGTGTCTTGTGTCTTTTATTTCTACAATTTCTCGTGTCCACACCAGCAGGGAGGGGGTCACCAGACCCTGAAGGGTTGGATCCTACATACAAGGGTAATTTTTAATTTTTATTTTTTTGTAGAGACAGGGTCTCATTATGTGGCATAGGCTGGCTCTGAACTCCTGGGCTCAAGCAATCCTCCCGTCTTGACCTCTCAAGGTGCTGCGATTACAGGCATGAGCTACTGCGTCCAGCCTACAAATTATCGATATGTGTAATTTGAGACCCACAATGAAGATTTTTGAATTTTGGAATTTGCTTCCAACTCTCTCTATGGTCAGTTTTTGTCCAGGATGATCTTAAACCAATTTCAAGACTTGGAGTTCCCGGAGCCACCCAGAGGATCCAAACAGAGCTGTCATTTCAGGTGGCTGTTCCACTTGTAGTTCAATGTCACCTGAGGGTGCAACCCTTTAGAAGCTCAGCTTTTCAGGGGAGGATGAGGGTGTCTCCTGTTAGACTCTGACCGAGCTGGCCCTTGCGTTCTGATCTGGCTAAGCTTTAGACAGGCTTTTCCCTGACTCTAGGCCTCTGACCTCCTTTTTCTTTGAGTACTTTAGAAATCTTGTACTTGTCCATTCGTTCTTTGTCTGCTTGAGATGCAAGTGTTTCAGAAAGCCTCTTGTCAGTTTTACAACCCATGACTGTCTTTCTCAAGGACCTATGAAATGTAAAGATCGAGGGAGATACAGCCCCTCTGGCACCAATTAGCAAACACAGCTGGCTTGATCACAGAGAACATTGGCAAACCCAGGAAGAACTCACTGTGCTGAACTTGTCCTGCTGGTCAGCCTCCCGCTAACTTCCTCCGGGATTTTCCAGCATCGATATCGGCACTTGAAGATCCTTCCACTTTATGTTTCAGTGGAGTGGAGTTCATGCTGAGTTCAGGCCTCTCTCCCCTGCTACAATAGCCTGGAATAAGGTCCTTCTTGCCTGTTTAATGTTGTCTGGTGCAGTTTTTGCTTTGATGCCTCTCATTTTCCAGGACGGTCCAGTGTCCTCAGGAAAAGCCATTGTCTATGCTTGCTTACTTCTCAGGTTCGTGCATTGGCCTGGTCATTCTTTATCATCTCATTGGGCCTTGGGTGAAGTTGAGAAGATTTAGAAATATTTTTACTCTCTTTATTTTTAGTTATTTTCAGTGGGAGCATTGGCATGAACAATCCTTGGGAAACAGGAATCAGTTAAGACCTTTGGCTGTCTCTGCCTGCTCTGTCTCTAGAAGCCTCAAGCCCAGCATCCCCACACTGATGTGCTCATCTCTAGCAGAATACTGGCCTCTCAGCTCTCTCTCCATGAAGGCCACTAGTAAGTGCTGTGATGCCAGGCTGCTCCACATCCAGGCAGCCTGGGTGACCACTACCTTTTATGAGAATCAGAAAAAGGTGTGCCCTCTTCAAGTTAAAGTTTTATTTATTTTATTATTATTATTTTTGAGATGGAGTTTTGTTCTTGTTGCCCAGGCTAGAGTGCAATGGCACAGTCTTGGCTCACCGCAACCTCTGCCTCCCAGGTTCAAGCGATTGACCTGCCTCAGCCTCCCAAGTAGCTGGGATTACAGGCATGCGCCACCAAGCCCAGCTAATTTTTTGTATTTTTAGTAGAGATGGGGTTTTGCCAGTTGGCCAGGCTGATCACAAACTCCAGACCTCAGTTGATCCGCCTGCCTCGGCCTCCCAACATGCGAGGATTACAGCCACTGAGCCCGGCCTTATTGTTTCTATTTTCTAAATTTGTGATAAATTGGTTCCCCTTGCTGCTGTCTCGGTGTCAGTCCTCCTCATTTTTAGGTTGGGGGCTGCAGCAGTCTCTGACTGGTCCTTCTGCCTCCAGCCTGACCACGCTTTTCCGCACCTGCCAGGCTGTCTCAGGGCCCCGATGCTGGTGGCCTTTGCCATCTGTCTGCCCGAGGCATCCTCCCTCCAGCGTCTGACAGGCAAATGTGTGCCGCCCTTCAAGACTTAGGCATTCTTTTTCCCATGCAGCCTTCCCTCCTCTGTGCCTTGCAATCTGCTCCACTGTAGTACCTGCCACAGGAAATGGTGGGTTTATGGATTTGTTTATAAGTTTATTTCCCCATTTGGTTGTTTTTCCATCTTGCAGGGTTTACATCGCCTCCTTTTCACTAGCATGGTGGCCAGGACGCATCTCTATCATGGCACATTACCTTGTTTTGTGACCACAGCCTAGTCTTTTCCTCACCCTCAGACTTCCTTAGGGCCCCTTGAGCCAGGGATTCGCCTTGCTAATCTCTGTGTCCTCTCTGTCCAGTACGGCGCTTGGTCCTGGTCAATTTCTCCTTGCTTGCATAACTTGTGTCTTCCTGGCTTATTTGATTTCTGGAAGTTCGGTCCTTCTCCCTACTCTTACACCTGCGTGCTGAGTGAGGAGGGCTCTCAGCCTGCTGGCGAGCGTTTTGCTGCACTTGTCATTAGCTGTAAAGCCACTAGGGGGCAGGGAGCGCCCGTTCTTCCTCAGATGGGTGCCGAACCAGAACCCGGCAGCCTTCTGCACAGAAATCAATTCTCTAAGAGTTGATTTGCTGAAAGATCATTTTGCAAAATGGTCAGCTCAGCAAATAATTGACTTGCTATATCTTTGAGGAGTTATTTGTAGCTTCAGTTTTACTCAGAGCAACCCCAGGATGCTTAATATTTCATTTATGTGGGAGCCTTTTTGGCTTAATGTTTCATTTAAGAATTAGGGAAACTATTTTGGGAAAACAGCTTCTTGCTGAGCCTCTGCCTCTGTCAGTACGCCAGCGGGGGTGAACTGCACTACCTGGCTTAGGGCTTTTGTCTCATCACTTTAATGAGTTGATTTTATGTGCGTTGACCTACTGCAAAGGAAGGGTAAGGGTTCTTCCAAAATAGATTCTCTTCCAATGAGGAGGCATGAGAGGGGCTTTGTCAGTTTTCCCCACCAAGATGTGTACTGTGTGTCCCCAGACTTCTTCTTGGCCCATCCCAGCATAGCCAGGGTTTCCTTCAGGCTTGTAATGAGATAGAGCAGCTGGCAAGGTTGGTACATGAAGACCAGTCCAGGGGGAGGTGGATCCCTTGGGACATGATAGGCTGAGAGCAGCACCCCAAAGTCTGTGGTTTTGACTCCTGTAGAGACTTCATGTCTGAGGCATGCCCACCCACTCCAGCCCCCCCCGCCCCACTTCTCCTCCTCCTGTGGGATCCCTTTGGAAAGCTCAGCATCACCTCAGACATTTGGAAAACTGACATGAGCTCCAGTCCCTCGTGGCTCCAGCCTCTGCTTCCTGTGCAGACGAGGGTCCCGCGCTCACTTGGATGAGCCTCGAAGGCATCCTGCTCTCTCTCAGAAGGGCAGACACTATGGGACTTCACTCACATGAGTATCTGAAGTTGCCAAAAATCATTGAAATAGGCCGGGCATGGTGGCTTGCACCTGTATTCCCAGCACTTTGGGAGGCCAAGGTGGGTGGATCACTTGAGGTCAGGAGTTTGAGACCAACCTGGCCAACATGGCAAAATCCTGTTTCTACTAAAAATACAAAAATTAGCCTAGTGTGGTGGTGCATGCCTGTAATCCCAGCTACTGGGGAGGCTGAGGCAGGAGAATCACTTGAACCTGGGAGGCAGAGGTTGCAGTGAGCTGAGATCCCACCACTGCACTTTAGCCTGGGTGAAAGAGCAAGACTCTGTCTCAAACAACCACAACAAAATAATAGAAAAATAAAGTAGAAAGGTGGATCCGGAAGGTGGTTACCCAGGCTGGGGTTTGGCAGGGGTGGGGGTGATTTGGGGTGGAATGTGAACAGAGTGTGGGTGCTGCAGGATGAAAAGTCCCGCAGATCTGGCACACAACAATGTGCAAGTACTTTATACTGTGGGCTATACACTTAAAAATGGGTAAGATGGTCATTTTTACTCCAGTGGACATTTTTTTAAAAAGTCTTTCTCCATGTTTGATTTTCTTATGAAGTAGAGACCAGGGATTTTGGACACTATGATCTTTCACAAAAGGGATTTGATTCTGTGAAACATTTGAAAGCATCAAAGTCTAGTATTTCACATGTTTTGCAAGCTGGGGAAAAGCATTCATTCCCCTGAGAAGCAGCGTTCGTCTGTCGGGCTCCGAGTTACCTGGGTTGTGGGTTTTAGGGAAGGGAAGGGAAGTGAGGAAGCACTTGTTAGAGGTCCTAAAGGCCACTTCTGGGCACGCAGCCGCCGGCAGCTGGCTTTGCTCAGAGTTCGTAGCGGCGCTGCAGTCTCTGTTGCCTCAAGGACAGGAACCGGCTTGACGTCCTTCTCCTGCCCTACCCAAGCCCCTGTCTCGCAGCCCTTCTGAAGCTCAGCCTGGCTCCTGCCCCGACCCCACCCCCTGGCCAAGCCTCTGCTGTCATTTCTCCTCCCTCCTCTCAGTCTGCAGCTGTGGAAAGGGCCGTACTCCCCAGTTTCTGCTGTGTTGTGACCCCACAAGACGCTCAGCACCCTGCACGGAACTTCCTCTCCGACTGAATTTTTGACTCTGTGGATGTGAAGCTATTTCTAGAAATCTCTTCCTTCGCAGAAACACCTGAAACCCTCCTGCCAGGAGGACCAGGGCCCAGGAAGCGGGTCGCTCCCTGGAGGTCCTCCCCTCACCCTCCTCGCCTTCCTCATGTCCTGTGCCCTGGGGCACCAGCAGCTGCTTCCACCCAGGTGAGAGATGGAGGGATGGAGCCAGGACAGGACCGCAGTGTGTGTGTGACGTGTGCACACGTGCATAAGTGTGTGTGCACTGGTGCCTGGTTGTGGGGGGGATGGGCTTGCCATGGGGAAGGCAGCCTGCTCAGCCATGGGAGAGGAGGCTGCCTGCGGGGTTGGATCGCAGGGATCTGGGAAGCTCTCCTCCTGGTCCTAAGCGTGTCTCCCCAACCTGCTGGGGAGCAGATTCGGCAGGAGGGAGACAGAGGTACATTCCTGTACATCTGTTAGAGTGACTGTCCTAAGAGAAGGCGTGTCGGGGAGTGGGTGTGAGCCCTAAGAGGAGTAGGGCTGAGGCTGGCAGAAGGGAGGAAGAAGCAGGCGGAAGGGGCCTGTCAGGAGCGCCCTGAAGCTGGGCTGGTGCCACAGAGCAGCCCCCAGGAGGAAGCCTTGACATGGAGCCTCAGTGTCCTTGGGCTAAGGGATGGAGAATGTGTAGGAACCTTCCAGACAGACAGGAGGATGGGGTGGAGGCAAGGGTGCGCTGGACCATCTGGGAAGCTGTAGCTAAGATGACAGCGGAGTGAATGGAGGCCTGATTGTGGAAGGCACCATAGTAACGGGCTGCACATTCTGTTTGAGCCTACAAGAACACTTACAAAAATTTCACTGGGCCAAAAAGTAAATCTCAACCAATGACAAATAGTTTATACAGACATTGTTCTCTGGCCACATTGCAACATTTGAAATAAATAAAAAGGGAGCCAATGTTTCAATACATTTTGAAATTTAGTAATCACTTCTGTCACCTTATGGGCCAAAAAGAAATCATAATTGAAATTAGAACATATTTAAAACTGGTCAACAAAAAAGAATGGAGGGAAAGACTCAACTATATAAAGATATCAATTTTTCTCAAACAAAGCTATAACTTCAATGCAATGACACTCAGCATTTCAGCAGAACTTAAATAAATTTACAGC